CAGCTAGGTTTGTTACTTTCAATGTCCATTCTTGAATAGTAGGCAAGTCTTCCTTATTCCATTATTGCACCACCAGCAGTCCAGCTGCGGTTATTAAATGCAAAATCAGGTTAATCTCTACAACTGTACAATCAGTAATTATACCTAACAAAAATAACTGAGGGGTAAAAATAACTGAGTATTTTCTTTATTGGAAACCTTCCATTTTGACTTCTTTTATAACCTGTGTCATTAAATAAAGTTTTGTTTTTTTAAAAACCCTATATTTCCTTATTTATATTTTATAGGTTTTATTTTTTTTACTTGTTCCTATTCCCAGTGAGAATGAATTGTCAAGCCTTAATCATTCCTTCTGTTAATTACATTTATACTACCCAATCTATAGCAATTCAGTCAATCTTCATAGTCTCTTTTTTAATGCTGATACTCTGCAACATTCCAGCGGTCACTGCCAGCCTTTCTCCTTTCCACCTTGATTTGTTTTTCAGTGATACCGAAACTTCACAACAATCCTTTTCTCAGTTTTCCCATCCATCTTGTTAATATTTAATATATAGAGATGGGATTGGATTCTATGGCTACTAGACCTCGGTACAATCACTTTAACCTGTGACTAAACTTAATTGTTTTCCCATTGAAGTTGACCCCATTGGTTCTTAGAGGCTACTTTAAGTCATTCTGGATTTTTTTAAAAAGTTACTGGCAATCTATGACTCTTTAGAAAGTCTTGACCCACAAATTTTGATCCATCGTCCACATTACTTATTCACTTCTGGTGTCTCCTGAGTCTTCATTTAATTCTTACATGAATCTTTGTTCTTATGCTTTTCTGAGTCCCGAATTTCATGTCTCAAACGAGCCCAATCACGTATCCTTTAATTTCCTATAGAAAGTAAATAATTTCAAGTAGACTTTTTATTTCTACAGTTCTAGAAACTGCTAACTCCCTGAAAATTTCTTTTCCTAAATTTGGCCAATCATGTACATGTATTCTGAATTGCTGGAACATTCTTAGCTGTCTCTTTTTGTATGTACTCTTGACCTGCTGCAGGCCAACTTTTGCAAGTTGTTTCCCTAGTACCAGATTCAAAGGTCTCTTGCTCTGATCTTTCTTGACTTTTCTGCCACCTTTGATAAAAATGGTCCTACCTCTAGCTTATCTAGTTTTCCCTTTATCTATCAAACAATCATTTTTTGCTGTAGAAAGCTAATCCTGCCTGTTTCTTAATTCCCACACAGAAGCTCTTGCTCCTTTGTTTTACTCTACTGCAGTGGTTCCCAAACTTGGCAACTTTAAGACTTGTGGACTTCAACTCCCAGAATTCTCCAGCTAGCTCTTCTGGCTGGAGAACTCTG